TTAAGGTTTCACCCCTCCATCCTTTATTTTATTCGTAGAATTTCCTCTGTCTACAGTGCTACGCTAATATAATGACGGTGGAAAAAGGTTGAAATATTTAAACAACTTTTACGGACAAGCATGGAAGTATAAAACAGATGGAAGTTCATTGAGCCGCAAACATCAAAGCAATTTCAAGTCATCTCAGGAGTATGCTTGTAACCGACAATAAAAAAAAAACAACAACAAAATTAACTGAAATGATTTTTATTAAAACATTAAAAAATGAATTATTTTAGAGATATGCTGCAAACTTTAAACCATTAGTAATTGCAATTATTCAGCAAAAAGTTTATTAAAAATCGGTAATTAAATAGAACCACTTGTTTTTAAAAGCATCTGTTAGTTTAAGCTTCTTTTTTTGCTTCAAGTTATAACACGACATTTGATTAAAAATACAACTAAAACAATTTTGAAAAATCAAAAAAATTGTTTTCTAAATAACTAAAGTTTAAAGTTTCACTAGCTGTATATCATAAATCCATTCATTCTTGTAGTACTCATTCATTTAATATGAAGTTTATAAAAAAGTTGTTGTTTGCCGTTTCGTTGCGCCATTTTTAATGTTTTTCTTGAATATTTTTGGCGAACCTTCAAATACCATCTGTTTTATACACGTAAGATGTTTATACAATAAACAATATTTTTACCCGCGTACAATAAATAATTCTTGATTAAGCAAAGAGCAAAGATATCCGCGCAAACGATTGTTATAAATAACAATGGCATAACAATAGGAAACAGTTGAGTCACTTGGAAATACTTTTATTTGATTTTATTTGACATCAAAATGACGGCTGTTTCATCCATCCGATTAAAAAAACAAAAAATTATTATGTAAAGTATTGTGATTAATATATTAATAAAATATTACTGTAAAACTATTACAAAAATTGTTTAAATTATCTTTTAAATTATTATAACTCTACTTGTAAAAAAAAATTCAAAAACCAAAAAATATAAAAACAAAATTGTAAAATAAAAAATGCTTTGATTTTACGTCAAAAGTAAAAAATTTAAATCTTACAGAAGTTTGATAATGGGGGGGGGGGGGGGTAGCGATTGCCAATAATCTCAATTTATAGTTCAATCTATAAATGATCTATGATCTACAACACGTAGAAAACTCTTTTTTCTTTACAATATTCATATTAGTTTATAACGTTCATTTTTTACAAAAACAACATTTTTGATGTTAAATTTTTTATACAAATAAGATATTATTAAACAAAGCTTGCCCAACAATTAAAATATTTTTATATATTTAAACCCTTGAGAAACCTTAATTACATAAAATGCATTTTGATTTCTGAAAGAAGTTATCAAAGCAAAAATGTCGGTTGAATGTCGGTTTATTTTGTAAAATTATAAAACTCTAAAAATTATAACTTGAATAGAATTTTAGTAATTGGTGGCACCTCAGATTTATAACGATACGTTAAACATCCATCTATTAATACCTCTTCAAGGACGTATAAATAGATGAACGTTTAAATAAATAGTTGTTTAAATAAATAAATGAACATTTAACGTCCATTTATTTATACCAATTTAAATACTTATTTAAACCAATTATACCTGTTTAAACCAAAATAACCCAGGCCTTGGTTTAATGAATAGTTAATGAAAACTTTATTTAAATAATGTTCTACTAACACAACTGGTCTATGATACGTAATGCTTCTTAAAATTTTGTTAAGCATGGATCTGTAATTAGAGACGCAGAGAGATCTTGAATAGTACTACTTTTGCAACTTTGAGTTTATTTGTAAAGACTCCTTTTTTATTAAAATATAATTTAAACTCAAATTAGTTGAGTTTAATTTTTGATGCTAGATTTTGGCCTGAGTTAAACAACTTAAATTTAAAATTTAATTATAGTTTCGCAGTCATTTATAAAAAGTTTTTTTCGAAAGTTTATTACTATTTTTAACTTTTTAAACTCTGACGTCCTCAATTATGAGCAATATTTTTGTAAATTGCTTTAAATTAATTTAATTGGTTAGTATAGTATGACTTTTTTGTTGCACTAATTAAGTAATTTTATGAAACCCAGTCCCCGGTGGGAAATCGGGGATTTAGCGAAAAGCTGTTGATAGCGATTTGGCTATGATGACAGCTAGCTTAATAAGATAAAGACCCGCTGGCTATTGTAGCTAGCGTCATATCTTAATAAAATCGTTGTCTAAAAAATTTTGATATATAGCTATCAACCAGCTACATTTTTGTAAATATTTTGTAGCTAGCTACAAAGCTACGATATGTAGCTAGCGACACATTGCTTCAAAATTGCAATGTTTAAAGTTCAATTATCCTCATTATTATAGACTAAACACTAAAAATCGAATTTTTAAAGATCTTAGAAAAAATAAAATAGGAAAAGATATTAGGAAAAAATAAAATAGGAAAAAAAATCGCTTGAAAATCGCTATAAAGCTAGCTAGTCCCTAGCTCATTTCCCACCGAGTCCTAATCTAGAAAGTTTGAAATTTTTTTATAATTATGTATTATTGTAGTTTTTGGAAATACTTCAATGTAGCGGTTTTGAAATACCTTATGAAAACAGTTGTAAAGTATTTCATCATTTTTAGTTCTAAGGGCAGGTTCTTAAGACATTTAAAATGAATGGGGAAGCGTCATTATTTATTCGTTTTAAAATTGTATGATTTAATGAGTCTTATATACCATCCCAACTAGCACACAAACATTGGGTCAACGTATGTAAAACCTTCACGAATGTTGGCATATTTTTTTTCTGATGAAAGATTCACAAGCAAAACAAACATCATAAATGTAAATTTTTGGATAAATGGTAATCAAACTATCAATCTTTTCGCTTACTCAAAGATATGTACACGCATTTATACATATATATATATATATATATATATATATATATATATATATATATATATATATATATATATATATATATATATATATATATATATATATATATATATATATATATATATATATATAAAGAGATAAAAAATGTCTAGAAAATTTAAAAAAGCAATGTTAGGCCAACTTAAAATACAACGTTGAACCAATGTAAAGTACAATAACGTGCCAACTAAAAATAAAACGTAAAATACATTTTGCCAACATAAAATATAACTTTGTGCTACGTTGGTTTTTTGTTGTTAGCAAAGTTGCACTTGTAACCAAAATGGTATACAAACAACGTTGGCCATCGATATTGTGCCAACGTAACTCTTAACATTGTACTAACGTTTTACCAACGTATGTGGGTGTAATCATAAATTTTATTATAAATTATCCCACCAAATATTTTCAAAAAACTTAGTGACATAGGATTGTAGAAAAAAACAGTATAACAAATAACTTTTTTAAAATCGGGATGAATTTTTAGCTGGTTTTTATTAGGAAATACTCTATTTTCAGTTGAAGATTAAATTAAAAAAATGTTTAATTGTAATATCTATAAATAGTAACATTACCGTTAATGTCATCATGTCCACATGGCTTGTTACGTTTAAGTTCACTGAGTGTTTTGTATAACTCGTTTATTTTTTTATTGCATATGCAAGTTGTGGGTTTTTCTCCTAAGTTTTCATTAACATTATTTGGCCGCAAAATGAAGCTTCAATAGAAGAGCCTACATTAAAAAATATTATTTAAATTCTTTAAATAAGTTTTGTACTCTGTTTTATCATGTTTTTTGGACTTAAAATTTTTGTCTTTTTGATAATTTTATTAAATTATTTGTCATCTATGGGTTCTTAAATTGTTTGTTTTTTATTTCAGTTGCTAATTTTGGGCATATATAAATATGTAATAATAATTTTGAAAAGTAATCGAAAAGAAATGAAAAGCGCTATTGTAAGTGGGTTTACCAATCACTGTCAACCCAGCAGGCATTTGGTTTATAAAAGACGTCTTTTAAACATTCAAAAGACGTCATTTTAGGGCCAAATATCATGCTTGGAGCTGTTGTTTTTTTTAACAATATTTTACAATTACACATTTTACAATAAGTACAATCAATTCCACGAACTATTGGAAAATTTTAAATAACACAGTGTCTAACTGGTTTCAAATTATAAAGTTCAATATTTTAATGCACGAAACTTGCCATTAGACAAAATGTGTCAAGACATATCTCCAAGAAAATGTAATTAATGTTCTTGTACAATAGCCAGCCAATATTCAGTGGATAGAATTATATTTATAAACCCCATTAAAACTGTAAAATTGAGTGCATAAGTATTTAAATGATAAAAATTGCTCCCAAAAAGTAAAATATAGAGGTAAAATTACTAAAAAATGATTTATATTTTTTCTTCTTTATTCTTTATTATTAGTTCTTTATGTTCATAAATGTTATTTTTTGATTTAAAGACTTTTCTTGTAATAATAGACAAAACTTATATTGATTAACAAAAAAAGATTTTTAAGTTTTAGAGAGTGTTGTGACTCCTGGTGAAATGGCACCGCTAATACCCTGATGGAATGAGCAACACTTTTTTCATTCAATTTGTATAGTAAATTTTAGATTAATATAATTCAAAGCTAATTATAAACATTTTAGAAAACCATTCATTAGGAAACGTTTTTCTATTATAAATTTGGGGAAAGGAAGTACTTGATTACATAGTTTTACAACTTTGTTTACTGATGCCTGAAAAATCCTTCAAAGATGGGGGATTTGGTAAAAGCAGCAAACAGTTTGAACCGTAATAATCCTTTTTTTATTCTTTTTATTGGTCATGTTTTTTAAATATCTAATTACGCATTACTGTGCGTTATTAGGTAACCATACGTATTAGATCTTTACAACATAAACCACTTTTTTACTCATCTTTAATCATTTAATTAAATATATCCGTTATATTCTAAATTCTATACACTTACCAAATTAATTCACTACGTCAGCACTACTTATTTACGATAGCTGTTAACATTGTATAAATAGTATAATATTTTATAAATCAATTTAAACTGTACTGAATACGGTAGCGTGTTCAACTAAACTGCTAATTAAATTGAAATTTAAAAATATATAAAGAAAAACGTTCAAAATTCGGTTCATTTTGTTTAAAAAGTTCAAAGAATGGTAAAGTTTGCAAGTTTTCTTGTAGTTGTTTGTTCCATTGCTTCTGTAACAGGTTTATCATCTATATATTTTACTTTATATATAAAAAAGTAAAGTATACATGTTTTAAGATTGAAGTTAACTTTTAGCTGTCAAAGTAACAAAACCAACAATAAAACCAACAACAAAACAACTGTCTTCTGGTAACAATGTAGGTTGAACAATAAATTTTACTTTATAATTTATGTTATGAATAATATGAAAATATTGCTGAAATATATTTGATAATATTGTTCTAAAAATTTTCAATAAATTTGTTTTAAAAATAAAATTGTTTTAAAAATTCACTTAATTTTGTAATTTGTACATTGTACTACAATTTGTATTATATATATATACTACTACAATTTATATTATATATATACTAAGGCGCAGAGTCTTCTCGTATCCTCTCAGAGGTTTGGTGCGTCTTCTCGTATCCTCTCAGAGGTTTGAACACAATACAAAATAACAGTTACTGTTTTAAAGAAATAAAAAAATCTCGTTTTGTAATATTTCGAAACAGTTTTTAGCGTTTTGTCTGGTTTAGTATCGAACTGTTTTGAGATGCAGGTGTCTCCTTTGATTTTTTGTTTTATCTTTTTGGTATACCAATAAGACCTAACGGTATTGCAACAGAGCATCGTGGAAGAGCATTTGACAAGAAATTTTAGGCCTACTCCTTCCTTACAGATGACGCGAAACATGCCCAGAGCTCGTTTGAAACCCTGGATCTCTTGCCATTG